GGAAGGTCAATGGGGAAAAAAAGGGGGGAAAATGTGTCTCTGTAAAAGGACATGGGGAGGGAGGGAATCACTGAATTTTCAAACACCCATTTAGGTATAATCACTGCTTGTTGCAGGGCCTGATGGGGCTGCGGCCTGAACCCAAAGAATCCCAGTCTAAGAGAATTCCCAGTCCAGGTCAAGTCATACTTTAGGAGAGCCCTCTTTGCTTTGCTCTTAGCTAATTAGGGGAAATCTGATTAACATATACAATAAAGCATTTGTACTAGGAAACAAAAAGAGGAAGAGGCCTTACCAATTCATGACTTCTTAATTAGGGTCAGGACAGTATCTGGGGATTTCCTGTACCCCAAGTTTGCTGAACGATTACATAGGTCTGGGGAAAGGAATTTGCTCATAGTGATTCATCCAACTTTTTTTATGTACTGGGGTTCTGCCTTGCAGTTTCCTCTTCTGCTATTGTGTGTTGGCTAATGGAGGGGGGTAGGTTTCTGATAGGTTTACTCCTACTTGGATTCAAAAGCCTTGGGTTAGGCCTTGGTCTGTTGGTCAATGTGGGGTTTAAGCCTTCCTCTCTCAAATGAGTGGGTCGCTGGCCAGGTATGAAGGGACTTTCCTTGAGACTTATTACAACAGCTTACCGTGGGATGGATATTTGAAGGCAGGTTTCTGTTCTGTTTTGCCATCTTGGGGTGGCTCTGAAAAGCTTTCTTACCTCTGAGAGGAAGAAAATGTTGATAGGGTTGATTAATTACTACGCAGGATGCAGTGACGATAATTGGGCAACCTGAATCAGATGTTCAGATAGAAAGACAGGTAGACTGTGATGACACAGGTTTCAATACTAGGTCTGCAGGTAAAGCTTTGCAAAGGGCCTCACCCCAGAAACGCCTGCATTGGGGTCTTCTTTGCTGAAAGTTTGTCCCCCATCCCCAGCACTCCAAGTCCAGATGAATTGCCTTAATTCCTGGGAAAAAGGCTCGCTCTCTCTCTCAGATATAGATATATATCTTGACTTTTAAAAAATGATTTGTAACTATCTTTGTAGATAAAATATGAAAATAAAAAAACTTTGCCCAGGTGGCTTCTGGCATCAATATTCTACACCAGATTAAAATCATTTCCCAACATGCATACCCTGCACTCCAATTGATGTCTTAATAGCTTGATTAAAAATTTCTCAGAAGTCTATTAGACTCAGGAAACGGTCTGCGGTGTAGGTGAGGATTTTCAGTTTTTGCAATGGAAACTTTTGGCCCCATGAACAGAATAGCAAAAACTCAATTAAATGTGCTCTTCCATCATCCTTGCCTAGTCCAACGGTAAAAGATGAAAAAACGGCTTGGAAGAGTGGTGTTTAGGTAATCCCCCCACCCCTTTTTTCCCTCTAAAACAGCCAGGTGGATTCATATGATCCCATTTTTTAATGGTCTTCTATCTCCCACTCAGAACAAACCAGGTCGCCCCAGCACAATCAGAAGTATCTTTATTGTTGTTGTTATTGTGTGTGTGTGTGCGCGCGCGCGCGTGAGCGTGTTTTAATGTCCAGCCTCTAAGGACGTTGGGCTGGATGGGGTAGGGGAAGGGCAAGGGATGGTGCAAAGGTACTTTAATGAAAAGCAACCAATAACTTGAGGTTTTTAGAATGTGGTCTGCCATTTCCTAATTAAGAAACGCGTTGGACAGTCCTTTGGCCGATTCATTTAGACAATGCTATGAACCCAAAGGTCTGGTGACTGTCCCAAGCGACGAAACTCCATTCCCTTGCGGGACCCCGAGCCACCGCCCCAGCCACGCCAGCTCTGGAGTCCTCTCCCTCCGGCCGCAGGCACCTCGGGCTGCCTGGGTCTGTCTCTAGCGCTCAGCTCGGTGTTGCACCGGCTGCCTCAGGCTCGCCGCCACCAGGCGCGGACACCTCCCAGCCTCCCTCCCTCCCTCTCTCCCTCCCTCCCAGCCGGCGGGACCTATTCCGGGCTGGGGAACAGCAGCCCGGGCAGCAGCGGCAGGAAGCAAAGCCCTTGTTGATGCTGTTCCACGGGGCGCCTCCCCACCCTCCGCTGGGCCGCCGCGGCTCTTCCCCTCTCTGGCGCGCCGCCCTCCGCGCCTGCGCAGTGCCCCGCGGGGGGCGGAGCTCAGATTCCTGTCAGCGGCAGCGGCGGTGGCGGCGGCGGCGGAGGCGACCGTCAGTTTTCTCTGAAGAGCAGCACCACACGGACCCGTTGGCTCCTCTCCCTCCCTCTCCCCGCCCTGAACCCCTCTCCGGTCGCTCCGGGATTGAGTCCCTGCGGAGTTTCCCGTCCACCCTGACGCAGTTTCCTCGCTCCTCGGCCCGCTCGAAGTCACTGCCCTCGAGGAGGAGGCAGCGGCAGCGGCAGCGGCAGCGGCGGCAGCTGCCCTCGCCTCGCCGCCCCCGGTTCGGTGCCCGCGGTCCCGGAGAGGAGGTGGCGCCGCCACCGCCGCTCCCCCCCTCCCGCTGCCCTCGGGGCCGGGGCTGGGTCGAGCTGCGATGCCCTCGGAACTTCATCTCCTTTGCTCAAGCGCGGACCTAAACCTGGAATCGCCCCATGTCCCTGTACCTCGCGAGGTGAGCCGGGCGGATGGCCGGGCGTGGGGGCGGGTGAGGCCGCCCCCGGAGACCCGAGGGTCCTCTTCCCGAAGGGGGAACCGCCGGCCGAGCCCTGGCCGGGGTGGGCTGACCTTGGAGAAAGGGAGGGCGGGGGAGCTGCCGAAGGGGTGTCGAACGTTGGAAACGCCGTAGTAGGAGTGGTGCTCCTTTCCTACGCGGGAGCGCAGGGTCGGTACGGGGGCCCGAAGCGTCTCGACTACATCAGTTCTGCAGCGACAAGGGCCATTCGAGGATCCATTAGCAATTCA